ATTGCTTTTTCCCTGTTCCTACCAGATTAATCCTGCTGTGGATTATGGACATTTCATCTGAGAATCAATACAAAGTTTCAAAAAACATTGACTATTATCTATTTCTCTTATTAATGAGCAATTTATATAGTGACTTTTTAAAAAGCAACATTCTGTACAAAGAACTGCTTGCATGATTTTGCCTATCGGTCTATTCTGGGCAACAGAATTTTCAATACAAGATTTTGAGGGATGTGGCCACTTGAGCAATTATATATAAAAATATGTAGGGGATTGTCATTAATTTAGGAATTTATAAGATTCAATAGAGTTTTTTTTTTTTTAATTTATTCTTTCATCTTTTATTCATTGACTTCATTTATTAGTTCATGAAGTATTTCTTCAGCAAGTATGCATTGAGCTTCTACCATGTGCCAGGCACTATTCTGGTTCTTGGAGGTACACAGCAAATAAGACAACATGGTCCTTGTTCATATGGCACTTAGATCCAGTGAAGGGGGATATACCATAGACGAGAAAACAAACGAATGAACAAAGTGTAGTGATACATGCTACAGATATAATGAAACAGGGTAGTGTGTTAGTGAATGACAAAAATGTGCGTGGACATGGAGTCCCAGGACTTTTTGATAATATTGTTGAGAAAAAGACTCTATACAAAGGTAATATTTGAGGTGAGAACTGATGGAGCAGAAGGAACCAGATATTTAAAGGTTTCTAGCTACCAAGGTACCGAACAGGGATTTTGATTTGATGTGATAAAAACTGAAAGATGGCTTGAGGGGTGAGAGATGCACTTCCTATTAGAAGCCACTAGCCATGTGAGGCTATTAAAATTTAAATTAATAAAGATAAAATAAAATACAAAAACTTAGTTCCTCTGTGGCACCACTTACATATTAAGTGCTCAACAGCCACATGTGGACAGTGCAGAATATATTTCCATCATTAAAGAATGTTCTATTGGACAGTGTTGCACCAGTGAAGTAAGAACTGGAATAGATGAGATCACAGAGAGTGGCTTGGAAAGATCAGGAAGGTCCTTGCAGGGTGCCATGAGGACTTTCGTTTCTGCAAGTGCAACGAGAAGCCTTCAGATAGTTTTAAGCAAGGAGTGACAACAGTTGATTTACATTTTAAAACTATCACTCTGGGCACTGTGTAGAAAATGTATGATAGGAAAGCAAGACCAATTAGAAAATTATTGCAATTGTTCTGGCTAGGGAGGATGATGGATCTTCGATTGATTGTTATAAGAGAGATGGTGAAAAGTAGCTGGATTCAGGTTATCTTTTAAAGATAGAATCAAGTGGACTTGCTAATAGACTGTAGCATGTATCGCTACACAAAGTAAACAGGAAGGAATTGAGAGCGATGCCCTCTTTTGGGTCCTGAGCAGCTAGATAGGTTGTTATGTTTTTTTTCCTGGGGTGGAGGAGGACTGAGGAGAAATAACTTGGGAGAAATAATTTGGGGGGTGGTCGTGGTAGAAGGTCAGGGAGGGAGTTGGAAGTAAAGATTTCGTTTTAGATACATAATATTTCAAATACCCATTGGATATACATGCATAGATGTAGAGAATGAATGAACCCATACTACAAAGTGTAAACTCTTTCAATTTAACAGTAGAATTCTCTTAAGCATAACTATATTCGATACAGCGCAAATGATATACAACGGGGTTGATTTCTAGATCCTCTTCACAAACTACTAAAAAAAACACAATCCCTAGATTTGGCTAAGTGGACAACTTTATCAAGTAGAATTTGAATTTTTCTTTCCATTTCCCTTATTTCATTTACTGTGTGTACCACATTTTTCTTATCCTTTGGCAGTGTTAGGACTCATCAGTATCTGTTGAAGATGGGCAGTTATTATTTCCATGTCATTGCTCAATATCCAGTTTATGTATTGGGTCTTATCAATATATTTCGTACAATATTAGTCACTTCTTTTAGTTAGTATAGTGCTGCAACTTTCGGCCTCTCTCTAATAGGAGTATTTTGTTGTTTTCCTTAGTCTGCCTCCAGGTTTTGTATGGTAATTGAGGTAGGAGGTGTGTGGAATCTGCCTTCTTTCCTTTTGGTGAGACAGATCACTTTCTAGTTGTGATATTTGTTCAGAATGGGAAGAAACCCAGATGCCAAGACACCACCTCTGTAATACTACTGAACACCTCAAGGATGTCATTGTTTAACATACAAACTTAGTATTTTCGTTTTGCTGCCATTAACAAATGCCATCTTTATTTTTTTGTTACAGTTTTCCTAATGTTGACATTTTATCTCTTACAGGTTCAGTTTTAATGATGATTTATCTATTTTTTCTAAAGAACCAAAATATTTGGGGTAGAGGAGAGAAAAAAATTGAAATATTAAAATTCTCCTCACTGCCTTTCTTTCTAACCTTGATATATGCCCAGATTTTTATAGTTTTTCATTTTAATATGAATTTTTGATGTCAGTGGATATTAGCATGATTTTCCAATCAAGGTTTTTCACTCTGAAGTGTCCCAGGTAGGTTCTGTCATATGAATCATCTGTCTAAAAAGGAAACTCAAAAAAAGTATGTGTGCATGCTGGGGGGCTCATTTATCTTTGGCAAAGACATCACTGCTCCTGTTTCCTTACTTATTTAACAGATGGTGCTCACTGCCATTGACTAGCTGCCCAACCTGTTCTCCATGTGGTAGCACAGTTCTGGACATCTGATGGGAGAAACTGTATCATCACAGCTCCTCTTATCCATTTATGTCATAATATTAACCTTAATACCGGCCTCTAACTAGAACAGGCTGTTTCCCATGAAACTAAGTTTAAAATTTAAGCCATCTTCTCCCCTACCACCGTGAATTAATTTTATCTCAAGTATCTTCCTTGGCTTTTCTTTGTATTGCTTCATCTCTACATGCAAAATACAGTGGCATATTGAACCAATTTTCCAAATACTCCAAGCTATAAACATACTTTAACCTGAACTGTCAAGATAATGAAGACAAAATGGATTATTATTGATAATGTTATTACTGAGGGTAAATGACATCTATTAAAAGTGAATAAGAGTGGACTCTCATATTCTTGTTCTAAGTGTAAAAAGAGACTAGCCCCAACATTGATGGATTTTTAAAAGTCCATGGAACAGATATTTATCTATTTTTCATAATCTGCCAAAAGCTTTAAATTTTCCTTTAGTTTCTCAAAAACAACATTAATACAGTACATGAACAATGTACCCTGTAAACATCAATAACCAGGGTCCTGATTTTTTTCTTATAAGTTTTCTTCATGGTAGACATAATATTTCACAACCTTAGACAGTCATCTGAGCTCTTTTCTAGTGTTAACCAACCCGTCCTCACCTCCCCCAAGATTTCTTTTACTACTTTCTGATTGACTATTTGAGCTTCCTAACTTTGTAGAACTCCTGGAGGCTAGAGTCACTTAATCGCAGTGTAATTCACCATGCACTATCAACAATTGTTGACTAATACTCTCATATACTGGATTTATTTTTTTAAGTAACAATTTTTTTTTAAAAGGGATACCCCTCCCCCCTTTTCTTTAATACCAATATAGTCTAGGTAACTTGCTGAGATTTTCCATCATTTAAGCCTTTAGGAAGGGCTTGGGTTCTCTGTTGAAAAAAGACCTTCGAGCAGGAACAGCGAAAGCATTACATTGCCCCCTGAAATTGGTTTGCTGTTGTAACTGACGTGAGAACATATGAGCATCTCTGAATCACGCAGACAGTAGATGTGGCTGTCATTTTTAATGCCAGTAGGAAATACGTTGGTTCCCATCGCCTGCCAAATAGCCACACGCAATACTTTTTTCCCAACGTCCTAGGAAACAGCCTGGGGGCCAGCCGCAGACCCCCACGCCCCAAGGCTGCGGCGAGCTGGGCAGTGCCCACCCTCTCCACCCCACCCTCGCCACCCCCCGCCACCCCCTGCTTTCTCCTGGGTGCTAGAAGTGCGGGCCCGGCTCCGGAAAGGAGCGATGGGGCTGAAAGCAGCGACTTCTCCGGGGAAGGGGGCGGGAGCTCGGCTGGGAAAGCTTTCCTAGGGAGTTGCCTGAAAGAAAGAAAGAACTGCCGATCACTCCAGTTGCTTGCTTTTTAAATACAGTTTTAAGCAGTAGTCTCCACTCACTTCCCTTCTGCAAAACTGCAAATTACCTCGCACCGAAAAGAAGGGGGGAATAAAAGGAGAGCAAATCTCATTCTCCTTTCTCACCCTCCCTTTCACCCTCCCTTCCTCTCCAGCTCACTAGCTCTCCCTCCCTCCCTTCTCTGGCGGCAGCCGCTGGTCTCTCGGACTGTCTCTCCAACGAGACTTAACTTCTTGGTTATTTCTCAGCCCCTTTTCCCTTTTTTTCCCCCTCACCCTCTGCCATGAACTGGACCGACAGACGCAGGGGAGGCTTTGCTTTCTGCCCCTGGGAATGGAGATTCGCTTCCTGGGGCCGTGCCGGGGAGGATCCGCCGAGGAGAAAGAAAGAGTGATAGAGAAAGAGCTGCAGGAAGGAAGAGAAGGGGGATCTCCATCCGCCGCGGGCCGGGCGCGCAGCAGCGCCGCGCGGAGCTGCGCCGGGGATGGCCCCGAACTCGCCCTGCGCCCCTGGGTCCTCCAGAGTCTGCGGCCCCGGTGCGCCCGACGCTTTGGGCAAGTTTTAAAATCCTGAAGTAGGAAGAGACCCCGGAGGATACCAGTCGGGGTGGGGGTGGAGCAGAGAATTTTTAAAAGCCTTTCAAAGAGAGAAGAGGAAGTCTGTTTCTGCCTGGGCTAGCTTTTAACTTAAAAGGCGTCTCTTTGGAGCATCTGATATTCTCCAGGAGTTATTCGAAAGCTGAAACTTTCAGTGGCTCGTGGGCCTGGGGAGAAGGAGGGATTCCGAGGGTGGGACTGGGAAGAGAGAGAGCGAGCGAGAGAGGGAGTGTGTGTGTTTGTTTGTGTGCCAGGGTGGGGGAGTCGGGGGAGGGGGGGAGGCTGGAGGCGTCCGTGAGTAGGGCACACCATGGCAGTGCCCGGCGAGGCCGCCCGAATCAATGACAAGCTCGGCCACGGTGGGGTGAGTCGAGCCCCCGCGGACTGCCTGAGTGGCGCGAGTCCCACATCACCGCGGGACTCCAGCGGCCGCGGCTGCTGGGGAGACCTGGTGCTGCAGCCGCTCCGGCGCTCCCGGAAACTTTCCTCGGCGCTGTGCGCGGGCTCCCTGTCCTTTCTGCTGGCGCTGCTGGTGCGGCTGGTCCGCGGGGAGATCGGCTGTGACCTGGAGCAGAGTAAGGAGGCGGCGGCGGAGGAGGAGGAGGAGAAAGCGACCCCGGGAGCAGAAGGGGGCGTCTTCCCGGGGCCTCGGGGAGGTGCTCCCGGGGGCGGCGCGCCGCTCAGCCCCTGGCTGCAGCCCTCGGCGCTGCTCTTCAGTCTCCTGTGTGCCTTCTTCTGGATGGGCTTGTACCTCCTGCGCGCCGGGGTGCGCCTGCCTCTGGCCGTCGCGCTGCTGGCCGCCTGCTGCGGGGGGGAAGCGCTCGTCCAGATTGGGCTGGGCGTCGGGGACGATCACTTACTCTCACTCCCCGCCGCGGGGGTGGTGCTCAGCTGCTTGGCCGCCGCGACATGGCTGGTGCTGAGGTTGAGGCTGGGCGTCCTCATGATCGCCTTGACTAGCGCGGTCAGGACCGTGTCCCTCATTTCCTTAGAGAGGTTCAAGGTCGCCTGGAGACCTTACCTGGCGTACTTGGCCGGCGTGCTGGGGATCCTCCTGGCCAGGTACGTGGAACAAATCTTGCCGCAGTCTGCGGGGGCGGCCACGAGGGAGCATTTTGGGTCCCAGCTGATTGCTGGGACCAAGGAAGATATCCTGGTGTTTAAGAGGAGGAGGCGGTCCAGCTCCGTGGTGTCTGCCGAGATGTCGGGCTGCAGCAGCAAGTCCCATCGGAGGACCTCCCTGCCTTGCATACCCAGGGAACAGGTAAGCGCTGGCGGCTCCTCTCTCTCGCCTCTCCGGGAAAACTTGAAACGGGAACCGGCGCGAAGTGGAGGGAATCAAGTGCTGGGAACTAAAGGAAAGAGCCTAGAAAAGTGGTGTAACTTCAGACAGACAGAAAGTAGCAAGTTTTACTTTCCTCTCACACAGTGTTTTATAACCTGAACTACAGAAACATGAATAAGTAATAATATTGGATGGCATTTGCAGGGTCTTCCACAGCTGGGCCAACTTTTTAGAACTGCTGCTC